TTACTCTTGTAATTTTAGGTGCAACTGCTCCTCCACCTCTGCAGCTTCACTGTAAGGAATGACAACAAAAGTGATCCTGTTTTGCTCACTACAAATTTGAAATTCAGAGGAGGGGGATAAGCCATGAAGAACTGTGTTAATTAGGTGATGGACTGTGGATAGAAAATACACTTGGGAATTACCAACATTAAAATACTTGGGTATTGTTTTATCTTAAGTAGGCTAGCTGTGGAGAAGGAATTATGTACAAAGTTTAAGTGCCTTAATTGCTTTAGAGATCTGCTTTTGGGCATGTTTAAACTCCCTTTAGGCTTGCGAATTTCTAGAATCCTCAAATTTAAATTGAGGGGAAAAAATAAAACAAAAAATCATAATCCTCCCCCTCCTCCAGATAATATTTTCAGACTTTCTCAGATCTAATTTACATCAGTGAATTAAGCCTGTACCTTTCGAAGTGTAACCTACATGCTTGCTTAAACTGTACTAAATTGCAACACTGAATTTGCTATTTTCCTAAGAAGAACTTCCCTGTTTTTCATCATTTAAGGTACATGCTACTCTTTGCATTCTCAGTAGGATGGTGGCAGAGCTGAAAGAATGAGAAAGAATCTGTTTTAATCTCTCATAATCTCCCTAAGCATCAGGTTCTCTAGGCAGCTTCATTATTAGAAGTATCATTGCTCAAACTTCCTCTATTACTAAGTAATTATTTGAATAACCCATTTTGCTTCAGTATGTTCATAAATCATTTGTTTTGGGGATTTATTTTGGCAGCAAATTTAAGGGAATTCATCTGCTCAGACTAGAAAAAACTCATTTCTGGCTTGCTTTGCAAGCCTGGTACCCTATTAGCACTCAGTTTAACAAAATATCTAAGATAGAGGAAAACAATTTCTCTAGACACAGTGCAAGACTGAATCACATCTCATTTACACTGATGTAAATAAGAGAGACACTGAAAAGGAAGAATTTATGGCACTTTAAATTGGAACAATATTTAGACTTGAAAAGCTTTATAATGCCTCAGTGTTGTAGCTGAAAATACATGTGTTGAACAATCTGCAATGGCAAAAAATAATCAGAAATAAATTTTATCAACTTTTAAAATAAAATCTTAGAGAATTTTCAAGGGAGTCAGAACAAAAAAGCACTCTTTTGTTAAGTCTATGACAATTTGATAAAGACTAGTCACCCCTACAGAAATCATAGTGATTTTCTCTAACCATCCCTTCAGATGGGATTCAATTAGTAAAATAAATGGAATAAAGAGAAAGGAAAAAAAAAGAGAAAGAAACCCTAAGAAATCTTATTATATGCTATTAAACTCAATAAGGCTTTTCCATCAGAGAACATCAAGTCTTATTTCTGGTAATCCCTGTGCTGTTGTAAATCAGGACTACAGAATTCCAGCAGAATAAAATTGCAGTAAGCAGAAACCAGAACTTTGAGTCATAGTTTGACAGTTTGGCAGCTCTGCCCCCAACAGTCTGAAACAGGAACCTAAAAGGAACACACTGAGCTGGGTTTCAGCAGATTTTGTTCCACCTAAAGGAAACAAAACACAGGCAGGGGCATGGATCATCAGCCCCACTGCCAGCAGAGCCCCTCTTATCTCCAGCACCAATTTGACTCTCTCAGTTCTATTCCCTCTCAAGTCCAAGCTGCTCCTGCTTTTTTTTTGCGTTCTTTTTGTTCCTTAAGCTGCAAGGATGTGATCCCCATCCCAGATCTGTCCTGTGGTAGAGGATTTTCAAAGGGTGTGAGAGAAAGGGGCTTAAACCCTGTAGCACAGAGGTGCCACATTTATCAGTCTTTTCTCAGGCTGTGGGGCACAGAAACTCTTCCCCCCGTGCACCCTTAAAAGGCAGCCTGTCCCTGAAATTCAGCTTACCTTAGGCAGAAGATGGGCAGCAAGCTGAAGAATTTGGCAAGCCACGGTGCACGTGAACACCAGTTTTAGGTAAATATGTTTGGGAAGGCAGGGAGAGGGTGTGTGATAAAGGGATTTGTGGATCTCTGCAGAACCAGACCTCCAGGCTGTATCTATCACAAACCCTTCCACCCTGATATCTGCCTGCAGGTTTGGAATTGAGACAGTACAGTGATAGTATCCAGAGGTCCCATGCCACACACAACTTCAAACATACCCATCCATACATTTATATTAGGATGAATAAGTAAACATAGCTACTCCTCAGAGGCTTTTTAGGACTGGAGCCTGATATTTCTGTCTTCAGGAATATGACTCCTGTCCACTAATAAGCAAGAGAGTGTAGAAGAGATATCCTGACTGAGGAAACAGCAGAATATCCAGAATCTGATCCTAAAAATTATCATCAGGTGAAAACACATGGATACCTTGGAAAATAGAGATCATAGAAGTATTATATTCTTAAAAGATATAAAATATATATAAACCATACACAGAGTCCCCTCAATGGCAACTATTTCTTGGAGTTATCTCTTGGGAGGCAGATTTCAAGTCAAACTGTGATTATAGGTATGCTAACACAGTTCAGAGTTAGCAAGATGTTCATTATAGGTAAATATTTTCTTTGTCAAATAATATATGCCATAATAAATTCTTTGTTTGTACCGAAAGAATAAACAAGGCTTCACTTTTTTGTGATTTATGCCACAGTACAATATAGTTCTTCGGAAACATTTTATAGAAAATGTAAGCTATATCTTATCTGAAAGTATATCTGGATAAAAACCACGTGTGGTGTAAAGCAATGCCAGCCTCAGAAAAGTTGGTGGCATTTGTTTGCACTTAGCCTTGAATTGAAATTGGCACAAGGTATAGAATTCTGATGATCATGTTTCATATCTTTATCATGTCTGCCCTTATCCCAAGATAAATAGACCATTTCCCAGCAATACAGTATTTCTAGATATCATTTACTGTAAAATTCTCTGTAAGCAATTTCAATTCTCATGCAGACTCTACTATATTGTATTTTCAAAAAGTTCAACAACAAGAAAATGAAAGTAGAGGATCAAAGCAAGTCTTTTTACAGTTGAAAACAAGAAAAACTTGTGAGTTTAATATTGGTAGTGTCAGAACAACTAAAAAGCAATGCTATCAGAGGACTTAGTGGAACCTCAGAAAAAAGTAAAGACTTAGGGTCCAGTTCATTCTTTTATTAAGTTTCTTGATGAAAACAAATACAGTTACCTGCCCGCTAAGAAAAAAAGAAACAACCAACTGCTCTCTCCTGCCCCAGAAACAAAAAACCCACATAAAAAAAGTTTTTGGCTTGGTAAAACAAATAAAAAGAAATATAAAAAATCCTAAACCAGCCAAATATTGTGACTGACTTGAATGAGTACAGGCATTCACCTCAGACATCTCACTGTCACACAAAGACAAACAGTTCCAATTCAGATGTCTACCCAAATTCAAGGAACCTGTAATTCTGCACCTTCACCCCCAAGCCAGC